TATATATATATATATATATGGAAAACGGTTTGTTGCAGTAAGATATGATGAATGGCGATGAGATATGAGATCAATTAACTGTACTGTTTAATGTTTCAGAATATTTCAAAAAACTTGATTAATTACGCTCTATTTTTTGTTTTGTTATTGTTTCTTTTTCATTCAGTTTATGATTTTTATGAAATGATTTTCAGTACTTAAGCAGTTGATTTTGAATGGTGAAATCGGTGAGGCTATTGAACATGCACGAGCTTTACGTCCTGGTTTGTTAGAACAAAACAAAGAATTAGCACTATTATTAAATTGTCAGCACTATGTGGAAATCTATGCTAAAGCGAATAATGTAAGAAACTGCATATCTTTTGATAATTTTGCATATTTTCTATACACTGATTTATTGTATTCAAACATTACCCTATATAGTCATTTCTTTTAGCTGAATAAAACCTGTCAAGTTTAAGCAAAAGAAGGTTTATCTATAGTTTCTCTGCGGAAAAACTATGGGAAACTAATAAAAAGCATGATTTTAAAGAAAAGATCAAGATCATATTTTTAAGGTCGCAATCCCTACTATCTCTTCGTCTGATACTGCTATTTCAACATCTAGCCCGTCCAAAGCGGCTGAATCTCGTTCGATCCAAAACCGTCTTTCACAAATTTCAGGTGTTTTCTCTATGATTGTCAAAAAAATCTACTGTTAATTTTCTGTAATTGTTCGTCGTTATATGTGTAAAACTGTTTGAAGTAAAAGTGGGTTACTGATGTAATAACGAGCACAATACTATTTCTATTAAGGAATTTATTATAAATTATCTTGAATGAGTTGAGAGAGCGAATTTAAAGCTTGACATGAAAAATATGTGCTCAGGCTTTACTGTGGACTCAACAAATTTTTTTTTTGCAGGGAGTGATTCATTTGCTCAAGTGTACAGTAGAAAGGGACATCCGTTCACTATTACTGCTCCTAATAATGAGACGCTGGGTACAGTTAATCCATTTAAAAGGCGCAACGATGAATGGGGTTTGTTTGTGCTATTGCACGGATTTAGTCAAAGCGTGTATATTTTATGTTTTGCGTGTAATGCATTATACTTTTAAATTAGAAAGAGTTCGAAAGATATGTTTTCCAAATATTAAGGTATTTTAGAACCTTCCATTTGTGTAACTCGTCGATCACGTACATGCAACGAAGGCACACGGCCAGTTACTACAATATTGACTCGTGAGACAGCAAGTAGTTCTGTTATTTGGTGAGCTAAATTATAATCAACTTTTCATTAATATTGTTTCATCACGTGGTTAATGTTCTATTGAAGTTTTAGCGGTACATCAACTGATGAACCAGTAGATGCAAAAAGTAGCAGTGGTCATTCTTCTTCTAGCGGAAGTACTTATGGTAATTTGTTAAAAAATATTGCTTTGTAACAGTAACTGATTAATATTATATATATTCATTTATGTATATCTGCATTAATTTGGCACGAACAACTGGTTTTTGTAGTACCAAATGGAAGTACAACGAAATGTAATGGTAGTGCTTCTGAGACAAACGGTGCTCACCGAATTGTGACATCAGCAACCACTATTATTGACGAAGATAAAGGTTCTTTGACTTAAAAAGCGATTTTTGTATTTAGTAGGAAACATATTTACTTTTTATTTTTCAATTTAGACCCCATTTGCGGTGATACTCATGACGATGTGATTGGTGGTGCTGATCGATCGTTCTCATTATGTCCAGGTTGGACAGGCGGTAATCCAAGAGATATGATGTCATGGGAAGCAATGGAGAAACTTTTGGAAATCGGTCGAGAAATTAATGGTTTATTTGGAGAAATGGTTAATCCACCGCAGGAGTTGGTTCAGCGGATGCAAGTAAGGAAGTTTGCGGCAGTTTAAATAAGTTCATCGCATTATGAAAATCTCAAAAATGGCATAAAACAGCATATTAATTACATATTTAAAGCTAATTTTCATCAGATAATGGTTCGTAACAATTGAATAAAACTAGAAAACTGCTTATTTATTTTATGTAGCTAGCTGCTTACAAAATACTTCAATCAAGCATCATCCACAGTATTCTCTTGTAATCCTTATATCAAATTTAGATATCCAAATGTGTAAATACGCATTTAATATAATGTTGTGTGTATTTATGTGCGATCAGAAATTCATCAGTCATTACAATTAACTGCAGGATACTCTCGCATTAATATGTCATACGAAGCCATTAGACACATCACTTTGCTACTTACTAGAGCAGATACAACGTATAGAAACTGCTAATGGATTGAACAGCGCTTTACGAGGTTTGTTGATTTGGCCTAAACAAGAGTGTTCATTTTCATTTGTCTTCTTTGTTTTACAAGGCGCTTAAAAAAACGAGTTTTTTTAAGCGCCTTGTAAAACTGAGAATTACTTTTACATTAATGAATCCTGTTTTTACTATCTATTTAGTACTTGAGTTTTAGTTTTCTAGTTATTTTTTAAAATATTTTTTATATTTTTAATTCGAAACTGTTTATGGAAAAAGTCTTTGTAGAACATATGGGTTTCACGAAAGAATCGCTACTTTCTATGCATTTTCGTACAGCTCGCAAACTTCGTGAGGACCTAATAGCAATGCAGTTTGGTGCTGCCGTGTTTGCAGACGTTGATAAGTTAGTCACATAGATTTTAAAATTGGGCGTTCTTTATTAGCATCACACGATGTAAATTTTTCTGGCTAAAATTGGCAATCATAGATTTGACCGTCAATATGTTTTGTCAGGTATAGAGTGTTGTGTATTGTATTGCTAAAAAAACTCTTTTCAACTTATTTGTACCTTGTTTTGAGTTGTTTTTATGATCACTGAATGGAATTTAAGTGCAAGTGTTAGAAGTATTGAAAAGTTTTACAAAGAAATATTGTTGTATAGCAGTTTTAAAGGGCATACGATATATAGGGTTAAAAATTGTCAGAAACTCTGATTCTAGCTACACTTTAAAGAATGCAGACTTAACAAAAATTGGATCTGTTTTGTTTCCCAAAATTTCATATGTTTACGGTCGCTATTTTTAGATATTTGTGGACCTCAAGTAAGTATCAAATTATCAATTTGTTCCTCCTATTTAGTGATATGATCATAATATGTCTTATAGGTTTTAGTTTCGCAAACCATATGTAGATATCTGTTTCAAGTATTCCTCTGTCTTACGCTTCTAAAATTCTTCTTGTAGTCATTCCATCGTTTTTGGCCTTGTGTTTCTGGTTGATTTGTGTTTTCTGGTTTTGGTCAGATAACAACAACTATTAGAAACAAAGATCTTAGTAAGGAAGCTTCTGAAGAGAAAATGATATTTTCGTACCTTATTGTTCACCATTTGGTTGTACCATTTTTCGTACCATGAATGAGAGTATCTAGACCTAAACATGAACCGGATTCCCACTATTGGGTGCAGACAGTGCACACAAGCTGATTAGTATTTGCTTGCAACTAAGACTTGCGAATTGGAGGACTTGTACATATTTTTTTGTTTTTTGACATTATATATTTAAATATATTGGGTAATGGTAGCAGCTGTCCGTAATATAGTGAAATGAGGTTTTTTTTTAGTTCGGTTGTAGAGTACTTTTTTCTGTGGATCCAATTTATAGAAGATAAATGTCGTTTTTAGTGAGATTCCATACAATTCATTGTGTTCATGTAATGAGATTCGCTCTACAAAGTAGTCATTTTATGAAAATTGCTTACTTTTAGTGATTTGCCTTTTATAATTGTCTTTTCTATTCAGTATTGATTTACACTGTATCAAATGTCGTTTTGTATCATCTACTGAGATTAAGATAAAGATTTATTTAAGATAAGATTAGAAAACTAATCGAGATGGAATGTATCTTTACTTCTGGTCTCGTTTATCTTTCCATTCTCTGGTCAAACTATGCTACAACTTTTCTCATATCTTCTTTTATCCTTGTGCATTTCCTATATTTTGGAGTATAAACATGTGTTAGTCATTTATTCGTTCACATGTTTTGAACTTCGTCAGTTCTTCATCTTTTGCAATTTGTCAGTACTTTACATATAAGACGAGCGCAACGCTTCTTTCTTACTTTATGTGAATAAATCAGTTCAGTGAAAGATATTTGTGATATCGCAAGCTTCTTGAAATATTCATTTCTTCGTGTGCTCATAATTTTTATGTATCGTTCGAGAAGGTAATAAAAGTTATGAAGAAGTTGGTGGCCTTAAAGACATGTGGTTTATACAGTACGGGTGGTGTTATTGGCATGATTAGAATTTATTTCTCAAAGGTCGAGGTAATTTCTGTAAACTATTTAGGAATTTTTTGGATTGAGTATAGTTGTGTCTTGGCAGTTACTTCATACGATTTCCAGGAGTGTTGCGTGTTTGCTTGCGAAAGTGAAATAGCTCAACTAATGTAGCAATGGTGGACAGTGGTTTTTACGCAAATAAAATAATATTAGCTCCTATGGTTCGAGCAGGTCGTACTCCATTAAGGCAACTTATTTAATACGTTATTTGATTCTCAAATTAAAGTTTATTGGTGTAAACCTTATTTATAGCAATATAATTGTTAACGAAGCAAGTTTCCCATTGCAAATATGGTGCATGTCACCAACAACTGTGATAGGACGAACTGATTGATACTCATACTGTGATGTGTTGGTACTTAAATTATTTTTTAGTTTTCAGAGTTTTGGCTTTGAAATATGGTGCAGACTTAGTTTATACAGAGGAAATCATCGATCAGAAACTTTTAGGTTCAAAACGATTGATAAATGGTGATAGATATAGATTTCTAATTAATCTCTCTTGTTTGCTACACATCCGTATGAAAATGATCGTTTAAGCTTTCATTGCTTCAGAAAGACAAAAAATTTTGAGAAACGGAAGAAAGATGCATGGCATGTTTATTATAGTAATCTATTACTATATTAAATCATTTAATGTTGATATAGATCTTCTTGGGACGATAGATTATACTTACGAGAATGATGTGGTGTTGAGGGTATGCAGCACATGCGAAAAGGAGAAATGTGTCCTACAAATGGCAAGTTTGTTTTGTAGATTTCTGGATCATACTATATGAATCTGAATTTTCGTGAATGGTGCGGAAAAAAACGTGGAAGAATTTTTGTGTTTCGTTCCACTGATTCATATTGCTTGTAAAAGAGATCGAAAATTTTTTCACAACTTTGATGAGGAATATTTACTTGAAATACATTTTACAATAAATGTTATAAAAATGTTTTAAGGGTACGAGTGACGAACAAAGAGCTATAAATGTTATTAAAAAAATGTATGTTTCCTAGTTGCTTCTATTTTTTCATTTAAGTATTTTTTTTCAGATAAATTTCGTGCTTATCACAAGGATTTTGATCAAATACGAAGATAACCAAACTTTAGGTTGGTTATCTTCGTATTTGATCAAAATCCTTGTGTTCTTCAGTATTTGTTGACAGTGGCAGTTATCAAAAATCTATGAAAGCAGAGCGAAAAGTGTTTTAAATGTAATAACGGAAGTTTTCAGTGGAAAAGATGTGGCGGCTATTGATATCAATATGGGATGTCCAAAACCATTTTCTCTAGCGGGTGGTATGGGTGCTGCTTTGCTACGAAATGTTGAAAAGACAAGAGAGGTAACATTTTTCTTCACTGTTAGCGAGTTAATATGTGTAAATGAATCTTACTGATGTTCGAGTGATTTAACTTTTGTATGTTATAATTTTTATTTTATAGTCCTATAAAACATCTGCTTGAAGTTTTAATTGTGGTCATCTGAATTTTTTGACTTCTACATGTACTTAGCACTATTCACATACTAATACAGTCAATCCTCTACATTGATTTGCATTAGTGCTATTTCCTTATATATATACTGTTTATTTTTTACTTGAGATCAATTTTTTACAACCAGCCTTAACAGTTTGATTTTCATTTAAAACTAATATCATTTTTTTTAAAATTTAGTTCAATTTCCTTGAAAGAAATACTTTATAAATTAATTTTGAAAAACTAGTAAATTAGAGTATTCGTCAATTTTAGATCGTAAAAGCGTGTGTCCTTACATCAACGATTCCAATTTCATGTAAAATACGCGTTTTAGACAAGGTACATCTTGAAAAATTTGTAAATTATTTAACTAATACCATCTACTTTTTAAAGTTCACTTCTCACTTTGGCTTGTTTTTGTTGCTAAACTTTAACGCGTTTGCAGCGCGAAGATACACTGGAGTTTGTGAAAATGCTGGAGAGGTCTGGTGTTTCTGCGATTGGTATTCATGGGCGACGTAAAAATGAAAGACAAGGTGATGCAAACCGTCTTGATGAAATTCATGAAATCGCTCGATCTATTTCTATACCTATTATAGCAAAGTGAGTTAATTTTTGATTTAAATAATCGATTATAGACGATTAATTCAAGTTCTTCTTCTTGCTAATTAGAAGATTCAAAGTCATTGCTCATTTAATATTTAAATATGAAATAGATCATAACAAGCAAACATTCAATTTTCATTGATATCGCGTTTTGAGAAATAGGTGAGGATTTTTTTTTTTTTTGAGTTAAATCGTGGAATTTCTAGAATTGATATTAATTGTACTGTACCGAATTGTAGCGGATTTTCGAATTCAGTTAATAGTAACGCCGATATCGTGAAGATTTGGAAAGAAAGTGGAGCAAGTAGTGTGATGCTAGCGAGAAAGGCTCTTAGTAATCCTAGCATATTTCGTTCGGATGGTGTTTTGTCAATGGAAGAGGAAATTTGTGATTTCATAAAAATGGTATCATCTTTATGAAACAACTGTGAATTACTCTTTATTCCCTTTCATTTTTATGCTACACATATTATTTTTGGATGCAAAAAAATCACTTAAGGCTTGCAAATACGACGAGAACTTTACTGCTACAAAATATGTAATACAAAGGATTCTTGGGTCAAGACAGGTATCAATTGACTTAATTTAGCAAAATTTGTGGCTTATTTGCTTATTTTATTTGTATGATGTCCCAGGCTACTAACTCATTCATTTATATTGTCTTTTTGATACATTTAGAAGAAAAGCTTGGTTTTTTAAATCGCTTTCTAAAAGACATTTACAAACATTCTTATAGGAAACTGATCAGCGGGGAAGAGAAACTGTATTAGCTGCTAATGTTTTGGAAATATGCAAGGCATGGTCCCTCGTTCACGTGTATGAATCTTTAAATGGATCTCGATGGCGGGCATTGCACAGACCAAAACTTGAATTTGATAGTGAAACAGGGATAAATTTTATTGATATCACTTTTCCTCCGTAAGATTTCAAATGGTTCGATAATCTTTTGTATTCGGCTCATCTGAAATGCTTTTGGCCTTAATTTCTTGTTCAAGTTTAAATTTAGTCCTCTTCATCAGATAGAGAGTGGTTCATGTGGCACTTATCGTTTATTTTATTCAAACATTTTCAGATAATTAGCACTTTTAATTTTTTAAATTAACAGATACCTTTTAGTAAGCGATTAAGAGATAGAAATGGGGCAGTCACTCCGAAATGCGTGCTTAACAGTTTTTGCGATGAAATGAGAATCAAACGACCAATCTACCAATGTGTATGTTGCAGGGTTGTCTGAAATCTTATTGTCTCTTCCATATCCCACAATAAGTTTCAAAGACCTCAGGATTTCTTGTTATCAAAAATCCAAGCTACAGATCCTGTACTTTGATAAAAAACTGCCCCCAATTTCTCAACTAAATAAAACAGCTGCTTCTGAAAAATAATCCGTAATCCCATGCCTTATGTTCTCAGAATTTCAATTTCACTTTAGAATGCACCGTTTCTAGAAATCTCGTGAAGTCGATAAGAAACATGAAGCAATTATTGAAGTTGGAGGGAAGAAATTTGCTTCACGCATTGGACAACCGAATAAAAAAGTAGCTGAACAAGTAGGTTTCAGATCTTTATATTCTGTACATCGATTTGGAACCAGAACACTATATTTTTGAGAGAAAGATATATAATGCCATATTAAAGGACGCAAAGTAGTGAAAAAAGATCTTATGGATTTCAGGTGGCAGCATTAGCCGCGTTGTTTGGTCTTGGTGAGCGTGAAAGGCTGCCAGGTAGTTGGGAAGAATCGTAAAATATTCAAAATTTTTTAAGATAGCGTCGTATTTATCAGAAAAAAATCGGCTGCTAACTCATCAAATGGAAAGAGACTCTTGAAAATCAACAATTCATAAACAAATTTCATGTCAACGACTATATATATTTTCATGACAGAAACTTGCAGTCCAAATATTCAGATGGATATAACATATAACAAATACTATGAGGTATTTCATGGAAAAAACAAGATTAAGAATCGGATTAGGAAGTATGTATCTTTGGTTCACATTTCGGGATTAGATCCGCAACTATCGCTTTTGTAATTGGATGCATGAAGGAAGCATTACTTTGAAATGCGTGAATGGCTCTACGGCGATTTTTTGACCAATGGAATAATGCTCTGCGAAATAAAGACATTCTACACTTCTTCATAATTATCCCAATAACGTACACAAAATTGATCAAAAATTAATGGTTAACTGATCTTTAAGTCTTAATTTAAAAAATGCTTGTGATATATTTACTGCATATTTAAGACAACAATGTTAAGTAAGATGTACCTATAAATTGGTCGCAAATAACTGATTCGCCCTTGACTTGCGATAAAATGCAAAGCTAAGCGAACGATCGGTCGCCACTGGTTCTTCAAACCCAACAAAATCCAACTTGATAAAATATCGCTATTCCTCGATTCTGAGAGTCCACATACATCATCCAGACGTACCAGTTTTTCATGCGAAATTGCATGAACTTTCTGTAATTTGGACACCAGAATGAGTTCTTTTGGATATGGAAGTTACAGACCGATGAGCAATTAACTGAGTATCAAGGATGTGACGCATTTAATACACTAAAGTCGTTAGATCAAAAATATGTAACACAGGAAACAACATAATTATAACTATTGAAAAAAATCTAACCAGTCGTAAGTAATCTGTAACTTTGGTTTTCTGAAGCGAGGACATCGAAAAGTATACAGAGCCATCGATCTCTTCCAATTCATTATCTCCCAAGTCCGCCCACTTCTTTGCCAGTAACACGACTTGATTCATAGCTGTTTCATCATATCTATTCAAGAGATGAGCCAAATAAAAAAGGTAGTAATTATTTCCAAGACACACTATTTAAAACAACTTTAGAGAGCAGTCAGTTCTGGTCTTATTATTACTACTTGACAAATAAAAGATTTCTACTTGTCAAGTTGCTTAGAAGAATAAAGTTATGACTCCTGAAAACATTAACATTTAAAATTTGTTGCTGAAATGCGGAGCCTAAATACAAAGATGTCAAAACTCTTTTTACATTATCTAACATGGTTCTTTAATACCGCTTACTGTGGCATTGTTTTAGGAATCCCTGTTCCATAAAACCAATTATCCCAGTCGATAGCATCAAACATATTTTTATGCTGCGGAAAGTAAGAATAGAGATAATTCTTCCAATCTTCAGTAACAACTGATTTTCGAGCATAATTTTGAATGTATGCTCTTAGGAACTCGATGAATGGTTCAGCACCTATTTTTTCCTCCAGGAACATGAGAAGAGCTGAACCCTGAAAAAGTACATTAAAAAGCTTATGAGGAACTTATCAAATTCTAGTAAAGTGATACCTACAGCATGATTCTGCAGTACCTTAATGTCATTTTCGTTTGCTTATTTAGGGAAAAAATTGCAACGACTTCAAGACTGACCTTTTCGTATGGTATTAATGAGAATGCATTTTCTGGATGTCTATTTCTTAAGTCAGGTATTAGTTTTGTAAGAGGATGGTCACAAGAATATTGTTCTTTCATAATAGCCAAGCACGCCTAAAGAACCATTTCAAATATACTCGAGATACGGAACATTTAGATTATATTTTCTGCTCGGAATACTGAAAATTTACTTCCCAACCGCATTGAGCTTCAAAATGTCGCTGTTGTTTTCCTTCTAATATCTCGGTTATTTTACGTTCAAAAAAAGTAGTGAAACCTTCATTTAACCTGAAGAAAATCAAAGATCCAAGTTGCGAGAAAAATGTTTGCTTTACTTACAAGATTTTTTCTGTGCTTTCATTACTGCTATTCTACTTAGATTTCATGTTTCCATTTATTATTTTTGATTTCCCGAACATGCAAGAAATGATAAAATAAAAATTAGTTTTTGTAATCATAGTACATACCAGAAATGTTCCCAATTTGCATTTGTAACCAAATTTCCCGTCCAACTGTGTGAAATTTCATGAGCAATTACATGGACTGCGGATTGATCACCCGCTATCAATGAAGGTGTTAGAAAAGTTAAACATGGATTTTCCATACCACTATAGGGAAAAGACAATGGAAGCACGACCAGATCATATCTACTAATTAAAAACTATTTTATTTGTATAAAAATCTGTTATTTTAGCAAACTTGTTGATATATAGTGATAAAAAAAGAGTTCTTCTTAAACCTAATATTAGGAAGCACAGAAAATAGCAGAAATGTGAAGATAATACCATAGTGAAAATTCCAAGTATGTTCTCAAGACTAATGATATGGCAGGCACTTCCTAATATAGCAGAAAATGACATTCCAGAAATGGGAAAATTGTCGAAAATGTTAGTGACGAGAGATTTCAAGTAAATTAGGAAAAATTTAATTGAGAATTGAACTGATGAATGGATATAGATAAAAAGTCCTTACCTTTGCCACTCATACTTCCCCATCAAGTTTTCTGCTGTTTGAAGTAACTTTTCCGTTCCAGCAAACTCAGAGAACGCATTTTCAATAATTGTAGGTTCGGCCCAAATCGCAGAACGTATACTTAGCTCTCGTTTTTCCATTAATCCAATAACAATCGCTAAAAGATAAGATGGAATAGGCACTGATTGCTTAAATGAATATTTTTTGAATTCTCCAAGATTTTCTGGTTCACCCACACTAATTGCACTCATGAGGCATACCAAATCACTGGGCACTGTAACCTGAAATTTTTGCAGTTCGATAAATGCAGTAATCAAAAGTTATGATATGAAGCCGAAAAATAAAATTAAACCCATTTAAAGAACTCAGTATTTGATTTATTTTGAATAGTCTAAACCTTGAATTTAAAAGGACATTAAAATATCACTAAAACCTTCGAGTTAAAGATAAAAAAGCCTCAGCTTTGAATATAATAATTCCAAACGTTTACCATGGCATCATAAGTCTGTTTCACGCTAGGTGTATCCATACAAGGAACAATAGACCGAGCATGAACAGTTTGACACTGACTAAATAAATACGGTTTTAATTTGGCATGCGTTTGAACAGGCTCTAAAAACTGCAGTGCAGTGCAGTTTGCTCCTGTTTGGTAGAAAATAACGAGTTTACTGAAATTAAAGTCAGTAAATGAGATGTAGAAGGCTTTAAATACAAATAATTAATCATTAGAGTAATTTTTACCTAAAATAATTGTAAGTCGACTATTAAAAGTTATTAAATGGCTTAAAAAATTTTATTAATTTAAAGAGCAGGAACGATTTACACGAATCCAGAAATTGAGAAAATACATAATCGACTATTAACACCAAGTCGACTATAAATCGACTAACGCAAAATGTTGATAATGAAAATTATTACCATTCAAGATAAAATCATGGTACCCCTTTCAAAAATCATGCAGATCGGATTGTAAATAAAAAAAATAAATATATACATGTGTCTAAAATAATTTTTAATACCTTACAATGTCTCATCAGGTTCACGTAAATCTACATTAATCACAATTCTCTCGCCAAGTTTGGGAACTGCTTGTATCTGGTAAGTAACCTTTTCGTTATCTACTTCAATCCTACTTATTTTTAATGAATGACCATCCAATACCTGCAAAAAATATCACTGATTCCACATTGAGTCACAAATATCTCAAATATATTATAACTGCTCTAATTAAAGAAAGCAAAACACAAAAATACTCTTAGTTACTGGAATAATCATGTAATTGGAACCAAATTGTTCATCCTTCTTTTTTTTATATTTTTGATAGGAAAGAAAAAAATAATGGTTCAACACAAATTAAAATGAAAACAAAATAATATCAAACTTTCGCAACAAAATCGAAAAAAAAATTTGTATTCGAGGTAACAATGAAACAATTCTACTAATCTACTTTAATAACCAAAAATTAAAAAATAAATAGATTCTACTTTAATTACGAAATCTATCATTGCAAATTCAAAACTGGATTACAATTATGCCACTTTTTTGAATCATCCGCATTGAGAGAACGACACTACCACGTATTTGAGACTTTTCAAAGTCAACCACCCAATCTAACGACATATGATCAATTGTCGCTTCGCCGAAATTAGCAACAGAAGATGGATCGCCCATTTTTCCTAAAAATGAGTAAAAAATCTTTTTAGTGTTTTATTAATATTCCCTGAATTGAGATGCTAGAACAGTTTTACTGCTTCAGAAAAATAGATGAAGTACCGAAAATTAGTTTTCCAAAGCAAACAAATATTATTTTAGAGAAGAAAAATTCGAACTGTATTGTAAGCGGGACTAGTTCTACGGTATTCAGTTGCGATTTCGCAACAGCTATGTTAACTTATTACTGCTAGACTACTGATGTGCTTTAAACTATTCATAAAATGATTGTTACAAAAAATAATACTTTTGTAGCTTTTTTATATTCCTTATTTAAGAGAAAAGATAACTGCATAGCACAACTTTATCTTCTATATTTGTAATTAATACAAAACGTACCACAATGTAAACAAGAAACAAATCAACGTTGCTAAGCCAATTTTAATTTCTTAAACTGTGCGCTGAAACCAGCATAAATATAAATTCTACAGTGAAATGAAATATTAAACGGATGTTACCAAAATGACTGGACTAAACTTATATACAATCATAACTGAAGTATGACTGACAATATCTCATCACTCATAATTCAATGAAAATATTCAGGAAAATGAACAACTACTTCATGAAGTAAATATTTCAGTCATGCAAGTATAGCTTTACGAGGACTGTGAATGAAATATTTATTTCATTAAAATAATATCTCTACAGATTTTAAATACTGGATTTTCGGAAAATTATTGTAGAAGACGGCAGCAAATAAAGCAAGAGCTACATATTCTTGAAAACTTAAGCAGAATATACAAGAAAGAATATGTAAATTAATATAAAAAACAGTAGAAGGAAATAAAGAAAAAGCCCCAATAATGAGTGCATGAGCAAGAACCAATTTCAAAAATTAAATAGTTTAAGTAGAACTGAATTAATTGAAAAAGAGCCAAAATGAAAAACTGCACAGGAATTTCAATAGTTTCTACCTCCATAGGGAACAGTAATAAGTTCATGATTCTTTTTAAGATCAGTAAAACAAAATGTTTTTTTCACTATAATTAATATTAAATGAGCATTTTTTGATCAACGTCGTGCAAATGTTAGTACTTTGATATCAGACGACTTATACAAAGGATCCAATTCTTTATCTGTTACTAAGGCAACATTAAAAAAAGGAGATATCATTTCAAAAAATCGTTGCTGTGCAATCATTGGTTCTCCAATATCGCGCACTTCATAACAGCAAACAACAGTTGGAGCTTTTATTCTTAATAGGATTTTCAAAAGTCCGTCTAACGCCTTAAACATGATATACAACAATTTCCTTAAACAAAAAGTTAGCCATAATCATTTAAAAAAAACACATCCTAGAAGATAAAATGAAGTATCATGATCTAAGTTTTACATTTGATACCCCCGCTAAATCAGAAACTTGAATTATTTGTTTTTAAAATTTTCGAAACAATTGTTGATCAGGTACTGAAAATAACTTGCTTTTAGTTTTGTTGTAACTTACATACTACAAGTAATATGGAAATGAAACCAAGATAAATCGTTAATAACTTTAATAAACAACAACTACCCTTCGATATGCTGCAATCATTTTTTATTTCAGTAGCAAAAAGAAAAATATCTTGTGAAAATTTACCTTCAAGTAGTATATGGTATCAATCATAACAACCACGTCGTAATAAATTAGTTGATCGCAAGAATCATTCCAATCTAAAGTTTCCACTTTAACCACACCTTCATTAAGAACTATCGCTTCTAGATTGTTTGCGATGTTTTGATGAATTAAACCAATTCTATCTGATAAATCGGTTGCGACAACATTTGCCCCCAAAACTCCCAAAACAATGCTGCACACACCCGTTCCAGCACCAATTTCCAATATCTATTGATAATGCAACATCAGAACTGGAAGTAAAAACCTTGAAAAAAAATGTTTGCTCGATGATAAACAACACAGCTCTTTCATGAAGGAAAAACTTAAAGAAATTTTAAAGGAAAGTTCACATACTTTTTTTCCTCTCCAAAAAGACTGTTTTCGAGCAAAATAATAACATGCAACAATGGCACTATCCCACACAATACAACCAACATCCCCTATGCATTCTTGATTGATTATAACTTCATTACTGCTTAAGTTAAACTTCCGAATAAAATGAGATGCATTTTCGTCGCCACTCGTATCACACACGAGGCTTTTTGTCATTCGTGGCTGTTGAGATGATACCTTCAGACCGTCAAAAACACAACAGATTACCAACCTAAAATTGAAAGGAATAAATTTTAACTGTGAGGACTTTCTGTGAGAGAAGCTCGATACACACCAATTTACATAATATCTAACAGCATCTCTCGTAAAAGCTTATTTTCTTAGGACATTAAAAAAATTTGAATAACAATTGTTTTTTTCACCGATCAAAAAAAAATGAACAAATGGAACGACTTCGTTTACACTCTTTTCCTTTAGACAAAACGAATTCTCATCCTCTCAATAAAACTGTAAGAGTAATATATGCTCATTGACTGCTTATTTATCTTCACAATACAAGGTTCTCACAGAAATATAAGGTCAAATTTTTGCAAACTGAGGAAACTTTGTTCTTTTTTTCTTCTCCCGATAAGTGAATATTCTTATATAATGCAAAATCCGTGCGCCATCTTATTTCTCACGTCAATTCCAACTACTACCATGAAATTACACTTAATTTTCAAGTCTTCCCCACACTACATATTACATCTTCACAATTCTCCTCTTCCTACTTCTACAATATTTGATAACGACTTTACTGAGCCAATATCGACTATTCAAGAAATTAACGTTTCCCGGGTAAGTACATTGAAACAAATTACAACTGATCTGTATCACATCACGTCACATCTAATTTGCAGCATTTAACAATCACTAAATTTTGTCAACTGTTTGCCTCCAAACTTTTTAGAAGTTGTCGGCTGTTTGCTTCTCGACCTTATGACAAACAGGTCGCAAGTACGTTTCATTAAAGACTAAATCACCTCAACTTATTTTCAATCTGTAAAAGAAATAAACTCTTATAACCATTCCCTTTATTCCTCGCACAACGTTAATCCTTCCTCTCTCCCACTCAAATTAACGCACTCTACGTAATTTTTTTGCCCACATCCTATCGTATCAAGCCCTCCTCAGTCTAGCATATGCTTTCACTCCACTCTTAGTCTTTGTGCTACACTCTCAAACCAAACTCTTAGACTCTGTTGTCAATCGCGTTACTTAACATGTAGACGTTGGCAACAAATATATACTAGGATCTAATGGTTTCATTCTGGGTCCGCCTTCGTGATGTACAATATCCTTGTTATGCATTTGGTATGTATCCTTGTTATGCATTTGGTATGCTTCCATAAAATTATTGTGTAGTCATTTAATTCTGGCATTTACTTGTAAGATTTGCGGTAACACGTGCACATTCTAGCTGTTAGTAATACCACTCACTAGAGTTGTTCTTCATTAAATCTTAATCCATCTACTACGTCAAGGACTATTATTGTGTGACGCATTTTTAGGTGATATATATATATATTCAGGTTACGTTAAATTAAGAAGCCTTCAACACTGAACATGGTTCCAAGAGACACATTTCAGTGTGATACACCTCGTAAACGTATGTCAGATGGTATTGATAAGTTGAAAGACGAAGAATACATTTTGAAAAGAAAACGAAATAACGACGCTGTGAACAGGTAAATTCTAAATATAAAAATGAGTCCTAGTAATTTCTAAATATTCTCTGAAATATAGGATAACATTACATGACGTATCGTAAATTCATGTAGTAACCGATCTTATTTTGAGATTGGTATTAAATTTGGAATTACTTGTACTGTTCTCTGTAAGTAACTGTATTTGCTTTAAAAAATGGAGATCATACACCATCGTCAATATTTTTAGTTTATCAATTCCATTGCTTGTCATTGATTTAGTTTCAAAATTGATGTTTTATTTCAAGGAATAAGGTTTATTATAGAACGCGTCAGAAAAAACGGCAAGAAGAAATTAACACATTGATGCGAGTGGATCAGCTAAGGAAAGAAAATGCTGAACTGGAAAGAAAGGTGTTCATATTAAGTCTTAAACGTATTTGTTTATTAACTGCAGCTGCTTGAAAAATTTTTGCAATGTATTTGAAACTTTTGTAGTCGAAGTACTATTAGTTACTTGAAATTTAAAGATCATGAAAATTAAAAATAGCTTGTCTTAAATTTTTTATTTACCTTTATTTTTCGCTTGTCTTCGAATCATTGAGATCCTATGTTCTATGTTGCTGTAAGCATTTCGCATAAATTTCAAGTTTTTCAGGTTGAAGGACTTCAGAAAGAATTGTCGTTTTTAAAGGAAATGTTTGTGGTTTATGCAAATAGTAACAGAGGAAAGCCAAATACTTCTAGCAATGGAGCAAATGAAAATGATTGAGTTTGGAAAATATTCAGGAGCGGGATACATAACTTTGTTAAAATTATCAGTTAGTGTTCATAATTTTATATTTATGTCTGTAAACCTGTGACTATTTCATTCAATCTAGCACAGTTTTATTAAAATGTCAATAATTACGGGTATACCTGAGTAATTTCGTGACTTCAACTTGAAACCAAACTCATTTTTATTAAATTTTCTCTCTGAAATCAATTTCAAGTATTATAGTTTTCATTACTCTTATGGGATTTCAGTTTTGTATACAGTGATTTCATTACATTTCATTCAGTCAAACATTAATCATTTATGTTTATTTCACTTACAACAATCTCAATAAAATAATGACTTATGCCTTTTATGTTTTTACTGTTTATAATTTGTCTAATTCGTTCGATATGTTATTTTCAGAACAAAAAACGGGAGTAACGAAAATTCCATATTTATTAATAGTCTTAAATATCTATTATTTCCATCTTATGCGCGGTATGTCACATAAAATTGGTTGCAGCACTAAGAAAGCAGATCATGAAATGCAGTAATTGCTTCAGTAGGTTTCAGGTGTAAATTGTTTCCACTTAAACATATGGAAATAATTGAGAGTAGTGTATTGTAGGAATTTCTATTTTTGTTCATTTTAGTTTGTTAATGTTGAAAGTTTCATCTCAAATTCCAGCAGTTATTTGTGTAAGTTTTATCAATCGCCCTTGATATTATGTGTTCGTAAGTTATTTTTCGAGATATGTAAAGTTTCGTGACAATATAGTATGCGTAGCTTATTAAAATTTATGGATAATCCTTATATACGTATTTATGTTTATGTGAATGAATGTAACTTGAAGAATGACTGAGGTGATGATGACAATGAAATATTGTTTTCGCTGCAATTTATTTTAAAATTCACATTTATATTTTAGGAGGAGATCCTCAGTGCATTTTTCAAGTATAATAATGTCATACAATTTAGAGAGCAGTTTTTTCAGCTAATCATAACATTTTAACAAAACTGTGGGTCGATGATTTGCTTTCTTTTCACTTCTTTTCAGTTTTAATTTTAAGACATTTAATTGCAAAAGATTTTATTTTCAACTTGCGTCATTCTAGATGCAAGCGGATTTTTTAGTTACAAATGAGCTATCGTGAAGCCTTTCTGTATTGACTTCTCGTTTGTTTTTTTGCTTTCACTTTGTCTTCGTCATACAAAGATTGAGGACATAACGAAAACTAGAAGTTCGGTGTTTTTCGTTTCTCGCATTTACAACTGAAATAAATTTCCGTTGGGAGAATTTTGTCGACGTTTCAGAATGTTGGAAGTTGAACAACAAAGGAGGTATGCGAGCATTGTCGCAGACTGTGCTAAAACTTCAACAAAATTGTTAGAAGCTACTAGGAGATTTCACGATCAGTTGCTAGGAGAGAGCATACGTAATGTGAGTGGCTAAAGAGTTCGTTGATTATTATAGACTCATTAGAGAGAGCTAACTGTGTGTTTATTGCGAAAAATTCGTGAGAAACCAGAATCATAATCCCTGTATTGTATAGGAACTAGTAATTTAGGTTCAGATGTTAATGTAAAGGTAATTTCTGAAAGTGATTTTTGGAGGGCATATCGTTATATGAGGTGAAGAATCATGATCTGCTTGTCTATACACGTGATTTAGCTTATTTGATGTACGTCATGGGCGACGGTAACAGCATTCAGGGTAATGCAGCGATCGAGCGTTTAGTTTACTTGAGAACTGTAAGTTCCAAGCAATTTTCGTATTCCTATATTATTCTTTTCGATTACAAATGGATGGTTCAGAATTTTAGATTCATGTAATTAAAGCTGACTTTTTTACTTTTGCAGGTTTTGGAAAGAACTCGTCCTATAGAATACAAATTAAAAAATTATATTGAAAGACTTATTTCTCTCACAACTGATGTAGGAATCGCTAAGGTTAGAGCGTATTGTTACATTTTACTTATACAAATAGAATTTTCAAGTGCAGAAAGATTTGAATGAGTTAACAATAATCGAATTTTACAGGTATTGCGACCACATCCGGAGCAGTTGCAAATGGACGATGAGAGGGAAAACTTAGAAACAGATGATGACGATCTTGCTACTGGAGAAGCAAAACCGAAAAAATATGTTCCTCCTAAAGTCATGGCACTGCATTACAATGGTAAATCTTCGCATTTTTTTTTTGTCATATATCTTTTCTTTTTCATTCAACTCCCAAAAAAGTTAAATGATCACAGTAAATGCTCTAAGTTGCTTTTTTCATTGATGACACTAAACTAGCGTTTTTTCAGTTAATTCATTTTAATGCAGTTTAGTTTAAATTCAATGGTTTCAGAAGATGATGAGGAAGCAGAAGCACGGAAAATGGAGCGAGCCAGACGTCGGGCTTTGCAGAGCAGTTTGATACAAGATTTACGAGCTCAGTATAGTGAAGCTCCAGAAGAGTTTCTGGTATTTTTTGCAGCTTGCAAAACGGCTTCTATTTATGCTCAAAAGCCATTTCATATTTGATTGAATTACTCATTTGTTTTGGTTTTCAAACAGTTTTCGTAATTTTTCTTCAATCATTATTTACTGGAAAAAAGATTATGTCACTATTTCGTGATTTTCTCTTCCGTATGATTTAATATAAAAGCTGTAAAAAATTTTCATGCATTACAATGTAAACTAACAATACTATATTTGCTGCTTAAAATTAAGGCATTATTAATCAAAAACAATATGCATATCAGGTTGAAAGAGTGTAGTAACTTCTATCATGCTTTATTGTTGAATGTCCAATTCGCTTTTAAGCAAGTTTTAATTTTTTTCAGGATGATACTATAGTAAGAAAAAAGAAGCAAGAAGATATTGAGAGACAAAAGTAAATCTAAACTCATTTGTTCATGCCCGTCCAAAATATTCAAGATTTTTTTATTAATTCATTAATTTGAGTGAATTTTACTAATCTGTAGATTTAAATCACGGAGTGTCAAGATCGATAAGGCACCGTAAGTCTAAGTAGGTTTATTTATTTTTGTGAAAGTAATTCCGTCTACTTATTTTTATAAAGAAAATAAATGTATTTTTTTAGGTATGAAGAAGACTACCTCATTCGTTTGCAAATGACGAAAAAACAAAAACACAACAAAAGATTGAAAGATCGGCAGAATATTCTGGATGATTTGCTTCATTTTGGTAATTATATGGCGGTGAGTGAGGTTAAAAATGAAGGGAAAGGTGCAGTACGAGATAAAGCTCGTGGAAAACGCAAGAAAGTGGGCAGTAATAATAAAAGCTTCAAAAAACCGCGTTTTGGCAGTAAAAATACCGGAAAGGTGAGTTAACTTATTTAAGAAAAGTGGAAAACTTTTTTTTCAAACCGCAGTTGATATACTTTCTCTTATTCCTCTCAGTAACTGTAAAATTGCTTTAATAACTATTTATAAATATGAGATGTTGACAGTCATTTTGTTTGATTCCTCCATATTTTAAATGTTATTTTGCAGGCACCTCGCAAATCTGCAAAAAAAAATCGCTGAAAAAACATCTATAATTTTATGATCTATTTTGCCGTTTGTTTTGCTTATTATAAAAAAAATAAATATACGAGAAATTGTAATGAAGAATAAATACTATTCGGGCATTAAATATTGAGCAAATATAAAAAGTGTATCCTTTGGTTTTTTGTTTGAATGTAGTAAAAATTTACACGATCTATTACTCTCATACTCACTGCTGACGTTGGGTTTCATGATCTGTGTTTATGGTCAGGATTCATTTCATTGATACTCCTACTCTCCAGTTTGGTAATGCATTAGAAGGCCTTTGGTGTTTCTTGTTATAATATTCTATTACTAGAGTTTGACAAGATTTTTATGATGGGTCTGCACAGCTATCTGATTGTCGATATACTGTATATTTTGTTTTAGTACATGTAATTTTTCGTTTGTGTCTGATGTCGATAGAGTTTATCGGATTAGTCATTACCGATGGATAGAATGGATTTCATATTTTACTTCTCATTAAGCATTTTCTCATGAATAACTCGAACCGAAATATTCGAATATCTAGAATGTGGGACCCAGTAAAGCTTAAGAATGAGGTTATTATGTGGTATTATTTTAACTTAACAAGTTTTGGACATGCTCAAAATCAAAGTACCGATTTGGTGCTCAACTTTCCAACCAATTTATTGTGGTGAGATCTATCCATAACAAAGTATCATTGACATATGGGTATGGATTTTAGCGGTTAATTACATTATTGTATCATTTCTTTCTAATCAAGTAATGCATTATTCATGCTTTGAAACAATAATTTTAACTTCCATGTGGTCAATATCTATTATCCTTCAGGAAGTTATAGACTGACATATCAGTCTTGAATGAGTTTATAACAATTTTTAGCGCAAATGTGTGCAGAAGTATTGAAGACGAGGCGCAAATTTGCCAATTTTATAATGTTCTGAAGCGATGTAGGGAGTCACACTTTTTTCGTCAGCTAGAAATGAATGATAGCAACTTCGCTCTCGTTTCTTGCACTATTTGCTTTGCTTTTGGAAGTTTAGTTTTAAATAAATCGGTCATAATCTGTCTCAAATATTTTCAAGGAATTGATTTTAACGAGAGCATCTGGCTTAAAAAGTGATGCTGCAATAGTTAAGGATCATGAAAATGGAAAACAGCAGACATATACTATTATCTTACTTTTTTTCGTTAAGAAATTTATTGATGGTATAGTTTCGTTTTTTAAATCAAGTAGAGCTTTTACTGAAGCTCTGTTTAATTTTTTTCAATATAAGAAAAGTCATTTCGCATGGTTTGAATACTTGAACAGTTGGCATACTCATTTTTAGCGCGTATTCTTCGCACAGTTGATTATCTATGCTGCATTAATTCTTAATTGTAAAGCAAAATTTTACCATCACTTCTTAACTTAAAGAAATAAAATAGTTGGATATTTGCTTACCAGCTGAACAAAATGTTATGAGCCTGGTAATAATTTCGAATATTTGTGGTCTAGTGATTTTTGACTTGTTGATCAAATTCGAACCTATTATTATTATCTTTATGAGTTTTTGGTACATTTGATTCACGTTAAAAATTCATCTCATGTCTATTCAGTCTGATTTTCTACTGAAGATATGAATTATTCCATTAAATACCCACATAATTGTAAAAACGGCTGGAAAACAAAATGCAAATCGCATTTAAATGCTATCGTATAAAATCTTAAAACGCATTTTTGCAAATATCTGACAAGCATTTTTCATGTAAATGTTGGTGAAATTGTGCTATTTGTTTTGAGAGCATTGAGGCTGAATTATTTGCCATTTTTTGCTCGTGGATGAAATTTTGCAGTTTCCATGAGCAGACTTGTGAACGACTAAACCAATGTGCTTCTATTAAATGTATTTTTTATATAATGTAATTGCAATATATTGGATTTATCAATTCATATTCGTCATAAAGACTAGACGTAGCTAACATTAAACTTTGAAAGATTATATCAAATTAATCGGATTACTATTGCAGACATCGCCATTGTTGTTAAGCTAATTAAATGATATCTTTACGAAGTAAGATCGGCAGAGAAAAATTTTTTATACGATTAGTTTTCTTACTACATATAAAGATTTGATTAATTATCAGAAAGTCCGTGCCTGATGTCAATGTACGTAGCATCATGTGTGCTCTGCAAATCACACAAATTTCAGGTTTACCGCCAAATTGCATAAACTTTTATACTTGAAAGAGTATCAGTGAAAATTTCGCTGCATTGTTTTAATGTTATTTCCCCAATTATTTGCATTTTTTCATCGATATATGAGTAACGATAATTATATTCTCACTCAATTCTAATAATCATTTGACCGATTGTAATTTTGGGATTTATTTACGGACGTAATTTCTGCAACAAACTATCATATAATTCCACTTCTCTCAGTCAAAAACTTCTTTAACATATGCATATTTTTGCGATTTACAATTCGTATGCATCTGCCAGTAGTGTGTGATGTGACAAGTTTTGTTCCGAGACATCATAAAATAAATATCTGCAAACTTCACATCTATCACTGATCATTATGACATCAATAAAAGGTAATAATTTATATGGAGCAAATAATTGCGATGAAAATTATGCCTATTTAACCAAAATTTTAGGAAAATATTTTTGTCAATTGTAAATGTCAAATGTTTTTTCTGTTTGTCAAAATTATGCAAACTTGACTGAGAATTGGTTCGTATAGCTGTTGGCTTGTACTGCAGATGGCAGTCGCTCTTGCAGTACCTTAATTATTGTCAGCTTGCTTACATCTTTTGCATCTTAAATTACTTTCAAGTAATTTCTATATGTTTTAATCTTAGTTTTCAAAAATAGAAAGTGCATCATGCGTTAGAATTGTTACTTTTAATATTGCTCATCTTGTCTTGATTACAGTAGTAGTACTGTTATACGCTGCGTTTCAAAGTCTTGAAGGCTAATAATAACTTTTTTCTATCATTTCTGCTAGCGACTATGGTTATATAAAATGATTGTAACAATACCACTGATAATAACAATGTTCACTATTAATTATCATTAT